CCGACGCCTCATGCGACGCATGTGACGCGTGTCGCAGCATGCTGTGTTCTTGTCAGAAACCTCAACGCGGCTTGCTGCCCGTCTCTTGAGTGAATGACATTGATGAGAAGCTTCAGGCACATGAGATGGCATGAAGCTAACCCGGATCATCGGCGGCCCGGGGCCGAGAAGTTGAGGCTTAAACATTCAAGATCATCAGCAAGGAGTGTGATTGTGGCTAGTGAATACGAATCCCAAAATAAACCAGCCGTCAGTGGCGTCAATCCTCCAATCTCGCCCCAAAGTGCCCAGGTTGTTTCTCACTCAGATTTGCGTGCGAGAATCCACTTGGTGGCTCGTCCTCCTGGAAACCCCCCTGTTCGTTTCCCAGATCGGTTAGCATAAACACTGCCCCTATTCCTTTTTCTGTGGGACTGTCGAAGATTCATTTGCTCATTTGCGGCTGATGTTTGCCCAGCGCCTGGGCCTCCAGTTTGTTGGAACTTGGCCCTGGGCCAAGTGTTTCCCAGCGGTGGCCCCAGGGACCAGGTTCGTAGCTAGGCGGCAGCGTGGCAGCCAGCAGCGGGCGGCACTCGTGTGTTGTGGTGGTGTTTTTCGATGTTTTCTCATTTCATTTCCCGGGTCTTTTTTTCACTTTCCGTGTTCTGCACATCCACGCTCACTCACTGAACCTTCGTGGCACACTCCCGTCGCTGTTGGTCGGGGTATCGATGTTTGTCTGGGTCTGTTCTATAATTTCTTAATGATTTACTGAATTCGTCATTCGTTACTTTGTGCTCTAGACGCCGCCGCGTTCACTCGTTACACGCGCGACAATGGCGTTCGCATTGCCGCATCTTCTCTTGGCCATTTTGGCCGTTTTTCATTTGGGACCGGTGGCTGCAGCTGAAGGTGACATCAACCTCTGCGGACAGTCTGACCACTGGAACTCGACTGAGGTCCCATACTCTTGTAGGTTAACACTCCCATATACCATCGTGAGTGAGGCTTATTGACATGGGCGTCTAGTCAACAACAATGCTTGGGGCAACGATAGCTCCGGCTACCAGTGCATGGCCGTGCATGATGGCGGTCGCAGCTTCGATGTCACCTACAAGTGGACAGGTGACGCTTCTCTTGTCAAAGGATTCCCCTACATGAAGGCGCACCCCTCGAGACTGCCTGTACAGCTGTGGAACGTCTCGCGACTTCAGTTCACCGCGGAATGGCAGACGTATGTGAAGGGCAAGGAGAGCGCCAGCGCCGACGAGCAGGCCAAGGCATTCGACGACATCAGCCTCTACGCCAACGTCGCCGTAGACATGTTCCTGTCCGACAACATCACCAACTCCACCGGCCTCAACGCGCCCTTTGAGATTATGATTTGGCCGTGGTGGGTGCCGACGGTCAAGCCTCTGGGCTGGGCCGAGTCCACGCCCGACACGGATACCGTCACCATCGACGGCACCAAGTTCTCTCTGTACCACGGCTGGAACGACGGCGGACAGCATGTCTTCTCTTGGCTGTCGCGCACCAACCTGACCAAGACGGACGCCGACTTCAGCCCGCTGTTGAAGTACATCTGGAAGAAGGGTCTGCTTTCCGGAGCTCTCTACCTGGGCCAGCTGGAGTTCGGATCAGAGATCAAGCATGCCGGAGAGGAGGTTCACTTTGAGGCCAAGAACTACAACCTGAGCATCGTCAGACAGGGCGACCCGGAAGATATCACGACCTCGACTTCGACGACCTCATCGGCCAAGACATCAAAGACGCCCACACCGACAACGACCATTCCTTCCGAGATGTTGGTCTCCGCCACCTCAAGCACCCCGAGTAGCACCAACGCGGCTGCTCCGACGGGGGTCATGAACATCATGCCCTGGTCGCTGGCACTTGCTGCTTACTTGTTATAACAACTAGACGTAATGTAGATGGTTCAATGTAGACATGGGATATCTGGCGTTCATGATTGGTAATGTTTGACTTTTCTAATTGATGCAACTGAATTATTGGTGAGTCTTGCTATTGGGGCAAACATGTTCAGCTTATAACTACCTATACGTATATTAGATATGACTTATCTCTATTCTTTCCAAAGGAAAGCAGGAGAGTCCATACTCTTACCGTCTCCGTTGTTATCGCTACTGTCGCGTTGCTAAAAGCATCGTCGCTACTGTTGTGATCTGCATCTGCTGTACTTGTAGTTACCTCGATAGTTGGCGTTTTTTTGCATCATCACCATCCGCCCGGATAGCTCAAAATATCTGCCCGAATAGCAAAACTCTCACTGACTGTACTTTGCGGACAGTTACTCACTGTTGACAGATCGATCCTCACAAGTCACTGTTTCGATTCCATTGCTCAGAGCTCCTAATCACAGACTTAATCGAATAGTGAAGTAAGAAGCCAACCCAAGACTCTGCTTAAAAATGCTCCATGTCCCCTCATGAAGCTTTTGCCGCCTTCTCAATACCTGCACCCTCTAGTAAACACCTTGACCGTTGTAAGCATTCAAACACCCGAACAAAATTTGACTAAGGTCTACATCTCAATATCTACCTGGAATGGAACAACCCAAGAAGACCAAGCCCAGCCCCTCGCGCAGCCACGGCGCCTACAAGTGCATATGCCACATATGCACCAATTGCACTTCTCTCGTGTCCGTTTACGGCACTTATTGCGCTGACTGCATAGCTGCTGGCCACTCTAGTCTTGCAGCAGTTTGAGTGCAGTTGCGAAAGCAGTAGAAATGGTTAGCAGACGCGCGGTGGCGCTTCATGATCATGGAGGTATAGCATTGGCGAAGCAGCATTTGAGCATGGCGCTGCTGAAGTCACCCTAAGTAGTCTTGATCTATCTTATACAAGTTCTCTTTTCATGAGTGTCATATCTATCGTCTAAGGAAATCTAAAGAGAGCGACGCGCGATTCTATGAGTCTACGACTCTATGTCTTCATCCTACTTTCTGCTTCCCGCAGCTGTTGCTCTTCTCCTCTATCATGCTCTACGCTCATGTCCATTCTCATCCCAGTGTTCTGGTTCTAGTCGTCTTCGTCTATATCAAAAGCGCCGATTATATCCAACTTTACGCCTCCGGTTTTGCACGCGGCAACAATCTCCTTTGGCACACTGCCATTATCACCCTGAACGGCAACAACAGTCTTGAGCAGGCTGTGAGTGACACTCGCGACCTGCAACGTGTATTCGAGCAATTCAGTGACTTCCTCGTCCGTCCCAAGCTCGTTGAAAAATTCCAAGACTTCCAGATTCGGCGGGAGACCAACGGAGTGCATGCGTGGTTTCTTTGAAGACTTGCCAAAAAGCTGATAATCCCAGTTCAGCCTCAACGACTTCACCTTCTCAAAGTCTCTCATCCTAACGGGTTTCCTGCCACCGAGCGTTGGGTGGTCGATGGTGATCGTCTCGAGTGAGTGACCCTGGGAGTTGAGTGCTAGGATGTAGTCGCTAAAATTGTCTGAACTCTCTTCCAATTCTGGGCTTGGCTGCTCCAACTGCGTCATAACGAACTCCTTCAAACCCTCGGGAAATTCGAGAATATCCGACAGCGCATCATCGTTGATGTCGCACTCGATGAGATGCAACTTGTGCAGCGCTGTTTCGTGGGGTCGCTCAATCAGGTCGAAGCCGCGGTAATCCAGCTTCGCTCGCCTGATGACTAGCGTCTCCAGTGTTGGGTGCGCAAAGATGTGGACATTCTCGCGGAGATCCCAGTACGCATCGTCGGGACACTGGTAAAATAGCGTGCAGTGCTTCAAGCATGCCAAGTCGAACGGGCCATTGAAGAGAGCACCGATTCCGTGAAGCAAAGTGACGGGGACGGACACCTCGAGGGTTGCGAGGTTGCTCATGGTGCTGATGGTTCGACTGAGGGCCTCAAAGCGGGTCGGCGGGTGGTGTGAGCCATGAATCGGCCCATCGAGTCTCAGGTGCGAGAGCTCGTGGGCGGGATACTCGAGGCTGACGTCCTGGATGGCAGAACCGCGACGCATGCGACGGCTGAGGGATTCTGAGAAGACGAGGTGCTGCTCTGGGTCGTCGAAGCGCACTTGGCGATAGAGGATGGCGTCGGCGAGCTCGTGCCAGGCCCTATTGACACGGCTCACGGCGCAAAGGTCGCTGCGCGAGGTGCGGCCGACGGCCTCGAAGATGTGAAGGAGCAACTCATCGGGGAGCAGGGCAAGCTGCCTGGGGACGGAAGTCGTGACAGACAGGATGCGGGATTGCGCTCGTGAATGCGACGACTGCGCTCGTTGAGCTTGCTGAGCTTGAGCTTGCGATCCGGCCTGCGGGTCGGCATTTGCGCCCGTCGTGGAATCGCGCGACATCCTGGTCCCACGATGAGTTGAAGAGTGGGAGAAGTGGATCCAAAAGATGAGGTTCGCAGTCTGATAACGAGATGTTGCTGATAAAGTCTTGGACAGATGGCTGATAACGGCATTATGTCAGCATCATCTCGGTGTCGCCGCAAGCGGTGAGCCAGTCATCGCGTCTGAGAACGGTCTGATTGGCTGCACATTCTGCCGCTCTCGGCTTATCGATAAGCATCTCAGTCTCGATAAGAATGCGACCGTCTCTCTTCAGTGCTTCACTGCGTTCCAAGTTGGTGAAGCCCCTGAACCCGCTGAAACTGTTGCACTCCTGAGAGCGTCGGAGGCCTTATCTGCCAAGCAGCCAGCCATCTCAATCAGATCATACGCCGTACACGCAGCAAGTGCATTACTGTTTCTGTGAGCATACGTGAAATTCGTCCCAAAGGAGAGGTCTTTGGCAATACTCGGCATGGGATTTCAACCGGTCGACAGGCGTTGATGCCCTGCTAGCTAAGTGTGCATGCATGCAGCTCATGATAAAGCGATCCAATCATAACTTGCGCGACATTGAATAAAATGGCAGTCATATGACCAAATGCCGGGTCGCCCACCCGTAGGCCAGCCCAAAGTGCAAATCTCTCAAAACACCCCCTCGGAACGATGTGAACACAGTACCCCGAAGCCGCCATCATGTATCTCATTGACGTCGAGACGCTGCAGACTGAAGAGTTCTTTGGCAAAATCCCTCAGTATGCCATACTCTCTCATACATGGCACGGCACGGATGAAGTCACCTTCAGGGAATGGGAACAGCGGGACTCAGCTGCGATCCAGTCAAAGTCGGGTTACACCAAAATCCTCAACGCCTGCCATCAGACACAGAAAGAGGGTCTGAGGTACCTGTGGGTTGACACGAATTGCATCAACAAGGAGAGTTCCGCAGAGCTCTCTGAGGCAATCAACTCCATGTTCGCCTGGTATCGAGACGCCCAAGTTTGCTTTGCGTTTCTACACGATGTTCAATTCGGCCCACCATTTTACTACACCTCCTCTGACCTATCAGATGAGAGAACAGGATTAGAGATTGATGACGAAACGGGCTTCATTTACAGTCGCTGGTTCACCCGTGGTTGGACTCTCCAAGAGCTCCTTGGCCCGACTCGACTTATATTCTTCGACTGCAACTGGAAGTCACTAGGCACCCGCAGTTGGTTGTCCCGACGTATCTCAACTGCGACAAACATAGACGAATTCTATCTTGCAGACGCCTTTGTCGGAGATCCTTCCTCCAGATCGGTGGTGATAGAAAAGCCCAGTATATCGGAAAAGATGTCATGGCTATCCACAAGAAAAACAACGAGAGTCGAGGACTTGGCCTACTGCATGTTGGGTATTTTCGACTTGAACATGCCTCTTTTATACGGCGAGGGCATGAAAGCTTTTGCTCGGTTACAAGAAGAGATCATCAAAGGTTCTAATGACCAGACAATATTTTGTTGGCCTTGGGATAAAAACATTGTTCCGTTAAACTGGGGCAGCTTGCTTGCGCCTGAGCCATCACTCTTTATGGACGGGCGTCTTTATGGATCAACATCGACCGTTCATTGGTCGCCATGGTCAAAGACAACATCGTACGTTATGACGAACGCCGGTTTACGCATCAGATTTCCTACGCTGAGGCTGGGTGGCGGAATAGAGCTGGCCATTCTCACTGCTCACCACAATAAACACTTCCTACAGAGTCGAGTTTGTATCACTTTGAAGACAATCCTTCCGCATGGAGAGGCAACCAAAAGCGTCGTGGATGATTCCGCCACAATAGCGCAGAGATTTCCGATACCACCGGACCTAGTCGTCCTCAACGAACTAGACGCATTGTCTATTTCGGCCTCCGCGCTCAAGGAAATTTGCATTCGCCCGTTACCCAATCTCAATGTAGACTTAGACGCGGCTCTGCGAGGCTGGGAGCTGGGGATATCTCGGTCGAGGGTGAGCGCGTCGGCAATTTTACTCATCTTTGACGATGCTGTTGGTTGTGACTTGTTTGGAGCTTTCCCGATTGGAGGCACATCGCAGCTACGGCTCGAGCCACTCTCCAGGAACTTGTTTCCTGTGGCACCCTCTGATACATCGTCTACCAGTGCCACAGAGTTTTACTTCATCCAAGCTAGCGGAGCACATCTAGCCAGCCTGGTTGTGGGAATTCACAGACGAAGCGAAAATACATATTTCCCTGGCATTCTGGACGTGCCTGACTGGTTTTGTTATTTCAAGGAGCATGAGAGACATTTTCCCTCAATGTATGACCGATCCACATCAGCCGTGACCCCTGATGGACGTATATCAGTACGACTGGATTGGAGCGTGTTCAAAACTGACGGCTTTGTCATTAAACCGGTCTATGTCTTGCCAGGAAAGATGCCTTTCAGATATTGAGATATAGAAGAAGAGCGCTGAGGAGTTTAGTAATAATCAATAGATCGCAGTTCTCTACCATGTTCGTATGTTTGCCAGTACAAAGATCGCAGCCAAGTAACAACTTGCGGATACGAAATAGGGTATTCCCAATGCCGCACCACCCAGAGCAATCGCCTTCACCCAAAGAACCATCATAAGCGGCGCCCCAAGCAATGATCCTGACGTCTTAACCATCATTACGATGGAAAAGATGTGAGAGTCCGGGTCAGCAGTGTCCAGCTGCTGATCATTCCGCTTAGGGGCAATGAACGGCGACTTCAACAACGAAAGAGTGAAGACCGGCAACGCGGAGCCCAGTGCATACAGGAATAGAGACGGGACAAGCATCCAAGTGCTTGTAGCCACGGAAATCGCCAATGCACCGAGAACAGACACGATGAGGCAGACGTTGGCATAGTACATGTTCATCTGGTGACTCGCCAGCTCAGGGGAAAGGTGCCGGGAGGCGTTCCGACGCGAACGAAGCAGTGCTGGAATGATGATAGTCAGAAGGGTGAGGTTTACTACAGCCTTTGCCGAAAGCAAATAGCCAGTAGAGGCGAATGTCCAGTGGTACCGCTTTGAAATGTACTGAACCAGAAGCTTCGTATCTGAGCTTGCAAGAGATGTCAAGACGTAACTGATGAGCAGAAGCGTCATATTGCGCGGATGGCTCGCAATGACGGAGCGCAAGACGCCAAAACGTTGGATGACAGATCTCACTAGTGAGGGATTGGCGTCCTGGGCTTTCAAGACGGGGGAAGAGAGACTTGGACGCGACTGCTCATCTCCATGGCGTGCCCGAGATGAGTGAGAAGGGGCGGCAGACGAGTCTTCGACAAGAGAGATGGCCGGAATCGCCAGGAGGAGGAGGCATATCCCATTCCAGAAAGGCAGCCATAGTAGCAGGCTCATGGTGGCTGATGCAAGAGCGGGGCCAAGAAGCGCTACAACATAGGAGACGGAACTCATCCAGCCGAAATATGTCGCCCTTCAAGACCTAATTAGCTTTACATATACGTGGCGGGAATGGACGACATACTCACCTCGCAACATGATCATCGGTCATACTGGACGCGATTGCGTAAGTAATCGAGTTAAACACACAGTCGCCCCCCAACACGGAGAGAAACGGAGAGGCAACAATGGCCTTAGTCGGGAGCGCCTGTTCGAAATAACCGACGAGAACGGCCCAGGCCAACATGAAGATCCGAGGTACGAGGTTAAGGGACAGGATAGTGCGCCGGCCGTACCGCTCAGCAAGAAATCCTAGCGGGATGGTCATGACAAAGTCTAGTAATATTGTCAACCTTGGTTTTCCCTGACGTGTGAGAATCTAGTCCTTACCTCCCACGATCCATGCCGTTTCCATGGTTCCTTGAATCCATGCCAGCCGTTGCTGGACGCTGTCGATCTTGCACAGAGTTTCGTCCACACTGCCATCCCGATCGATCACCGAGGGATCCGCAGCCAGGTAGTGCTCGCGGCAAAGTCGACGCTCGACGACTCTGTTCAGGGGCAGCTGGTAGAGACTCGCGGCCAGATTCACCAGCAGCACCAAGGCCAGGAGGGCACCGATCCCCGCTTTCCGCGACTTGCGCGGGGCTTGCGGCAGCGCGTGGCCATCGGATGCAACGTGCTCGCCCTCGGCGCCCACGGAAGTTGACATGATCCACAGATCGCGTGGTGAATCTGGGGTTGACGGAGTTTGACATGCGATTAATGTCCGGTCGGGGCGCGGGGAATTTCGGGACACTGGGGTCAACTGCGTGATGACTAAGCTAGCACAATCATTTGCGTTTGCCCTTGCTGAAACCCCTGCAAATGCGGGAGTTTTGGGTTTCAGCCACACCACTACCCTAAACGTTAATTAGTATTATCTTTTTATTATTTTCTATCGTTTCTACTATTATTAATTAATTATAGATAATATGTAATAATTATATAGTATTATAAACTTAAATTAATGCTATTATTAATATAATTATATATCCTTCATAATAGACCTTATTAATACTATATTTCTAGCTATATTTAACCTTATAAGTTATAAAGTTGAACTATTTCTATTAAAATTAAATATAGGTTTAATTACTAGTTAAAATAGTCTTAAATAGATAAAGTAATGCTTTTATATTAATACTTTTTATTATATATAGTATATAGATATAATAGAGAGCTATAGCTACAACTATAATATATATTAATAACATAATATAAATAGCTTAAGTTTAGTTAATATATTATAGCTTTTATTTTTCTTTCTTAATTTTATTATATATTAATATATTAGTATTAAAGTAAAAAGATATAAATTAGTTAAATAAACGATTTATATATACTAAATATTATTATTATTATTTAGTATAAAATAAAAAGCTCTATTGAAAAAGCTTTTATTAGTTAAATCTTTTAGTATTATAGCTATAATAAATATAGTTTAATACATAAAATATACTATTTAATATTATTATGCTTTATTTATTATTACAAAAGATATACTAAAGCTATATTAACTAAAACGTTCTAATAATTATAAATTAATACTATTATATAAAGAAGTAATATTTAAGCTATTATATAATAAGTTCGACGTTTATTTTAATAAGCTATAGATATTTCTTATTAATAAATTTAATTTAAAAGTATTAATCTCTATATTTTATAACACCTAAAAATGATATAATAATAGAAAAAGAAAATTAAATATATCGCTTTATAGAGAGATAATTAAAACGCTTAAAATATAAAGAAGATATCTATAATATTAAAGCTAACTAGTTTATTTTTACTAATAAAAATAGTATTAATTACTATAATAAAGCTAAAACAATAGTATAATTACTAAGAAGTTTTTAACCTTTAAAGAGAAATATATTAAAGGTTACAGAATAATATTATATATTATTAGTATTCACTCTCAATAATATTCTTCACTATATTATATATCTTAGCTATATAAACTAAAAAAGCTTTTTATATTAAATTAAATATTTAATATTACTTTTTATAAACTTATTTTTAAAGTAAAACTTAATTTTAGTTATAAATAATATAAATTAGTATTGTATATTAAAGCTTTAAATAGTACATAATACTATTAATATTCATTTATTATATCTACCTCTATATTTATTAGATTATAACTTTATAGAGGTGGTTTTTAATAACTTAAAAGTATATCTATAGCGTTATTGTATATATTAACATACTTTACTAATCAGCCGCACATATCAGTCAGCCGCACACTTTTCCTCATCTTTCAAACATTATATAAGTTTTTACAACCAGAACGTAGAAAATCAATTAGCTCTTATCAGCATCTGATTCACTAGATAATTCTACATCTTTAGAACACATTCGCATATTATGGCCTGTCTTGCCGCACACACTGCAACGCTGTTGAGCCGACCGACCCTTCTTCGACAGACCCTTATCTTCACCTTCTTGAGGCGCTGGACGTTTCTCTTTGCCCTTTTCTTCCAGGATAACCTGAGATTCTGCTATATTAAGTGCTCCTCTAAGCTGGATATATATCCTTTTTGCTCTCTAGCGCTTAGTAAGCGCTATATTAGCATCCTAAAGTATATGCATTTAATCTATTAAAATTATGATTAAGTGTATTATTACCTATATACCTTTTGCTAGCTAGTTAACTGCTTTAATTATTAGTGTTAGAGAGCTTCCTTAATAGGCTGAGATCTAAGTTTTAATAAAGTTTAATTATAAAAGCGCTTTATATTAGTTAGAAGGTGTTTATAACTGCTAGGCTAGTGGTGTTAAGGGATTAGTCGCAGGAGGTATAAGCGTCTATATATATATTAAGTTTCCTAATTATATAATTTAGGTCTTATAGTAAAATATTAGCTCTATAGAAAGTAGATTTAATATTTTTATTTATAAAGATCTTATTATAAGCCTTATAGAAGGTAATAAAGAACTTAGACTTTATAATATAGTTAACAGAGGATTTAATGAATAGGTTGATTTCATCCCTATATGCATGTTTTAAAGGTGAGTATAGCATAATATCTAATAGCTAGAGTAAGTAAGATGAATGCAGAGGTATACTAATAGTTATAATATTATTCTACTTATAGTATTTATTAAATTCAGCTAATAAATAGCTCTTATATCAATTAATTATAAGCATCTAATAGATATCTTTTACATAAGCCTAAATATGCTTTTCAAAATGCTTAATCTAGTTTAGGCCAGTTTTATTATCAATTTATCTATTAGTAGTTAGTTTAATCACTTAGTCGCCTAGAAAGCCTAATTCTATTAATTAGTTAGTAAGGTGATAAGACCCTCAAATAATTATAAAAGGTAGGATATATTATTATCACAGGCTAGAGCTCGGATTGATATCTCCGGCTTCGCCGGAGCAGTTACTAAGATCCGGCTCCGTTGGACCCACTATTCTGCCGCAGTACGCCGCCTAACCCAGCCTGCTTCACCGCTGTTAGGTGCCTACTCTTATAAAGTCCTTTCTTCCTTCTTCAGCTTAGAATAGTTAATCGACAGCACCTCTACGTTGAACAAGCCTAGGGGCCAGCCCCTTACATATTCTAAGCTCAACAACAAAAGATGCTTATGAAACCTCACGAGAGCGATACGACCGATTCGCTAGAGGGTAGCGTAACGAGAAGGCGCTATATGAAAACCTCACGAGTGCGACATAATAGATTCACTGGAGGGTAGCGCAAACGACGCGATAACTACAGAGATTAACTGCAGGGTTAATAAAGCGGTTAACATAAGCATACGTCCTCTTTAGGACCAGATGATGCAGCTCTTGACAGCTCTAAACAGGCTTATATCAACAGATAGAGCAACCCTTACGCCGATTATAAGCAGCATATCTACCCTATCTACAGCTGATATAACTACATAGGTAATAAGCAATAGTATTATAATAATAGTAGCTAAACCCTATAAACTAACCTCAACTAGACAACTGAGGCTAATGCTTCCTA